ATCTCAGCTATGATTTGTCAAAAAGTGACAAAATCAAAGAGAAACGGAAAAATAAATTAAACTAATCACTGAAATTCCCGTGGTATAGACCACGGACATACTAAACCCAGATGCCCATATCAGTGCGTTATTGACATTTAGACGCAATAAACCGTTGTAGGAACTTGTATAAAAATATAGAGTTTCAAGTCATTATACTGTACAACAGAAGCTAGGAAATTTTAAAACTCGGAGTTATGTATACATGAAGATATATGAGGAAAGAATGCATGATGAAGTTTAATATCATGTTATCAATTTCGAAGATAACGGTAACAAAATATCTGCTCACCTCGGTGACCAATTTTCACTTATTTCACTGAGGTTCCCCAATCGCCGACTCCTAACATCTTCAAGACCCCTACTCAGACAGACTACAATTTACTGAATATCTCGGAAAAGCGACCAGACGCCTCACAATTATATAATCTATTGGTCTTGTTATAGTTAACTTTCTTCCAGCTCAGTTATATCCCACTTGAAACAATTTGTGGCGGTGGATGATGGCTTGAGATGCACACCACACCAAAAAACCTTCATCGGGTTCACCTTCATCATATTATCAATTCACTAAAGTTCCATGATAAACACTTTATTCTTGACTTTAACACTGTTGACTTGGTGATTACATCACCCGTAGGGAGTACCATGAAGGCATCCATTATCAAGATCTTTTGAACTCACTTCTTCTAATTTCAGCAGATGTTTCTAGCACCGATAAAGTGAATAGACTAGATGACACTGAAGTATACCCATCTTCTAATAAGAAAGTCTTTAATGTCACCAATTCCTAATTTCGGACAACCTGATAAAGACTAGGTGGTTCTTCTGTATCTGTGTCAAAATTTCATCAGCAACGAGCTCTAAATGTAAAACCTCCTAATAGGTGAGACAATCACTACATCCGACATCCTAAAATTGGGAATTTTGAAACAATTCCCTTATATTTAACAGGGACTAAACAAATGCCAGGCACTAGAATTTCCGTGAAGGGTGTCCAAAGACTGGTCAGCCAATTATCCTTACTGATGGTTAGCACATAAGACTAGACTCCGTCTACAGACTGGTTTACAAGCGTAATTCAAAACTACTGTGACTTAGAACCAATTAGTGAAAACCTCAATATAGACCCAATGGTTACCAGATCACAGTCAATTTAGAAGTTTGACCTGAGGCTGTCATCAAAATCCGTCGATCAAATGTGCAATGAGCCCACCGATATTGGTGGGAAGACACTCTGGTGTACTTTATTCTGGGTAGAGTTTCTAATGTCAGTCAACAGGAAGCCCTGTTTTCCTGTATGTTGTCACTCGTTATATCAAGAAATCTCTTCAACTTTGCGGTGTCTCAAGTCCTGACTATAGTACTAAATGACATGAGTTTAGGCATGAGATGTATTTAGTACTTCCAGAGGTATTGATTTCCACGTGAAGTGGTGACCATGTGGTTTTTGATTGAGTGGGTAGGAAAATTAACTGATTTCTTACTTAGTCATAAGAACAATAATGTGATAGATAATGGATCCCATAATATACGTAACCACTTACCGAGCAACAAATCTGACTCACTAGCATATAGAAATGAATATATCATATTTATAATGACAGGATGCAAAAAAGCTAAACAAAGATTTTTCCCACCCTCAGGGAGAATGCCGCTTTAACGTACATACAAATAATGTAGATCAAGACAAGAAGAAGAAATTCTACAGACAACTGCAATCAGTACTGGACAAGACTCCACCCCAGTTGGCGATGACAACATCAAAATTCTAATGCATTGGGTGACATGAATGCCAAACTGGAAGCAGACAACACAGCAAGAGAACTCATCATGGGTAGAGAAACAATCGGTGAAATAAGTGAGAACGGAGAACTGTTTGCAGATTTCTGCGCACCCAACGATTTGGTGGTTGGTGTCAGGCAGTGTGTACAAACAAAAAGGTATTCACAAAGCGATATGGATTTCAATAGACACCGAGACACACTAAAAATCAGATCGACTTCATTTCAATATGAAGAAAGTGGAGACAAAGCCAACCGGATCAGCTAACAAGATCAAGAAGGGGGCAGATATAGGTTCACACCATACACTCACTATCTAGTACAAAACTAAGAACCTTCAAACCAAGTTGAAAACCTTCAAAAAAGCTGGTGATAGATCACTGTTCAAGTTCAACAACAACAACAGAGACTGAAGGTTGAAACTACAGAGGACATCTTCTCGTCAGTCAGCCATCAGGACAAAACGGGAGATATTGAGAAACATCTCTGATCGAGCATGGAAGTACACTGGAACTCCTTCAAAGAGATGTGGAAAGAAACCTGCATAACCGTATTAGGGAGGACGAGGAAACAAGACAGGGAATGGATGTCGACGGATACACGGAAGCTGATCGAGGACGGAGAGGAAGATGGTGAAGCAGAAGATGAACCAGTGCAGTGCAGGGATGAACAATGAAAAGAGGAACTGAACACAACATATAAAACACTACACTGGACAAAGAAGTGAAGAAGAGTGCGCACAAAGACAAAAGACACTTCCACAACACGCTGGCAAGTGGAGCAGATCAGGCTGCATGTAGCAGAGACAGACAGAGACCTGACAACATTATATCAAATAACCAACCAGGTCACTTACTATCTGAGAAGAGATCAACTCAGATGAAGCCAATGGAAGATAGTGAAGGAAACTTAGTTACCATCACAGAGGAGAAACAAAAGAAACGATGAGTTGACCACTTCAAAAACTCTCGAATCGACCACAACCACCACCACCTGCTATTCTTTCAGAAATACCACCAGCAACCGCAGAACTACCACTGAACACAAATCCTCCAACAAAACCACAACTGAAGTCCTGAACGCCATAAATTTGCTGAAATCGGCGAAAGCAACAGGACCAGATGGAATTCCACCACAACCACTGAAAACAGATGCAGAGACAACAGCAGCAGACATGCTCACACCACTACTGCAAAAGCTTTGCAAGGAAGAAAGGCAGGAAGGAAGGAGAGAAAGGTACCTGCCAACAGATTGGAAGGAAGACTATCTTGTCAGACTCCCAAAGAAGGTGGACCTAAGTCTTTGCAAGAACTGATGAGGAATCATATCCACACCCATTCAAGCTAAAAATTAGGCCGCATCATCCTGGAGAGACTGAAAAATCCTCTGCATTCAGAATTACGACCAGAACAGACTGACTGGCTGGCTGGCTGTCAACTAACCAACGAAGCAAGAACCCATCACCCAACAAATATGCAGAATAAAGTGGAGATGGATTGGATTGAACATACACTGAGGAGACGATTTGGGAACATCACGTATCAGGCCAGTGTGTTGAGTGGAATGCAAAGGGAAACGATGAGTTAGGTGTCCGATGTGAGGGTGACATGCAGAAGATCATGTGAGGAAGAAATGAAAGCTTGTGGGGAGTGATGGGGCCAGGTTAGGAGGCATGCAGAGAACAGAGTGAAACGGAGATGTGCTTTTGTAGCCCTGTGTTTCATTAGGAAGCCAAAAGACAAATCATAATAATGTATGTGCATCTGTAAACCGGGATTCATCATACTTTGTGAGATGTCCTGTTCTCTAGCTGGCTATTAGCACAAATAAGTTAAGAAAATTTAAGTTTCACTCACTCATTGGAATAGAAAACCAAATTATCATAATAGTACTTATTTTGTGATGAATGCTTTCTTGCACAAACCGATTCCCTGCACGCAACCGACCTAACTGTCTAGTCTTTACTGTTCAGTAGTCATCGAAGTTTATCCATCAAGTCCACACTCAGGCCACTAAGCTAACTGATACGACGTAGTATTTTTTTGTTAGACAGTGACCGTCAATCGACAAAAAGCCCTGCTTGACATAAGCTTCGGGCTGGTTTACCCTGACCAGCAATTGGTATCCGTATCCATGAGGAAATTGGTATTCCCTTAATGATTTGAAACTGCATCACTATCAAACAGCGAGATACAGCGCACCACAGTGTCACATCAGTGAGCTTGGTAGCCACATTGCAAAATTTGATTGACTGACTTTAATCAGGTTATGGTTATTCTGCCCAGGTAGTCCACTTGCAATCCGAAAGTCAGAAATTAGAGCCCTACTCCATTTACCATCAAGGTACTATCACCAATGCCCATACAATGTGTGCCGCTTTTTGGCTAGTATATGAAGTTGCACATGCTTATTGGGTTAAACTACTTTACATTTTGTAAAGTCATATCTTAGAAATATCTTTTCTTTATCGATGAGAAAAAGAAAGTGTAATCGGCAATAATTTATACCGTAAATGGAGAAATGCATCTCAGAAATAACGAGATTTGTTGTTCAGTTGGGTGATTTTGGTGTTATTGCACTCTCTAGGTTGGATAATTTAGTTCCCTGTTTCCAACTGTTATCCCAAACTCATTGTTTGAGTTCACTGATGGAAATGTAACTCAATCTTCTCTAGTGTTTCGCAGGTTAGAATTATGCTTTATCTACTACGGCCACTACAACTAAGTTGCATCACAATCCCTCGCACAACACCTAACACCCTAGCACATGTATGTGTACCGGGATGAGTTACATTTTTCTGCAATTAGTTGAACAGAAATTGTTCAAGAGACTTTTAAACTTCAATTGATGAACTAAACTAACTCACTAATGAGGTAACACTTTCCAAATAAAATGATCCCAAATCATCACTTATTATTTGACAAATTTTATTTTTAGGTAATAATGATAGGTTAACTGCTAATGTTGTTGACTGGCCTGTAATTTTTCTCTGGCGTAATTTAGTGCACAGCCAAATGTACATTCTCATGTGCAACACCATTAACCTTAACTATTTTTTGTATGCTCTATGGATTCAAATGGAAAATAGTTCAGCGTTAACTAAATGACAGTTCGCAAATAAAACACAAGACAAAAGAAACCTTTACCTCTTGTTTTTCACTTTTTCTTTGTGTATAGGAAGTGCAATAAGTGCTTTCATCGAAAGTAAACAGTGTAGCGATCACGTGAGTTGTGCCTATGTTTTCCTTTCCTTTTTTCGTAAAATAATATTTACAAAAATATAAACATTTTGTAGACTTCAGGATCAAAATTCACCCTGATAATATTTAGTAAGCTCGGGACTGGGTGAGTGGTTTATATTGGGAAGATTAAGTGAAGTAACACAGGAAACCACTGAATGCGAAAATGATGGTGATAGTGATGATAAAAAGTGCATAGGTTAACTTAACAAGGAAAGTCGAAAACGAAACCAAGACAAAAGGAAGGTAACGTCAAGATAGGATAAATTGCACGATACTTCTTTTGAACGCAATGGTGGGGCTTCAATTCACGAATAGCCTAGTCGTTGTTGAAAAGTGAATCTCTGACCTTTCATGACCTTGTGAAAGCTTCTTCTCCAAAGAATTAAACCTAAGCAAGTTTACGTATGCTTTAGCAGTAAATGAAAAAATCTAATCACTTTGATCATACATTAACATAAAAACAGTTGGACAAGAATAAATGTTATCGTCGATAATTATTGGTGTGTGAGTTCAAGGTGATGTGAATGTCTGTGTACATATGAATGTGTGCAGAAGAAGGTGACCTTGGCTTCACATGAGCGAAACGGATGTCCTCAATTCAGATCACTCTGATCTCCCTGGTGAAATATGTAGATTGGCGTGAGTGATTTCTATCTACTCATGTTAGTCATAAGCATATTTCGTTAGTGAGAAGTTCACTTTGTGTGTACGTATATGTGCATGTGTGTACTTTGGCCATGGTTAGTGTGTACAGCGTGATATTTTGGATTTCTTCTTCAAGGCCTTCCTTTCTGTTGAGTGGATTGGAGTTCAACATAATTTGAAACATCTCAGCTATCCGTCTTTCCTCTTAGTTTGGAAATCCGTTCTGATTAATCTTGATACTTTCAATGCAGTTTTTTGGCCATCATAAATAGCATGAACAGCCACTGCAGATTTCTTTTGTAAATTCTCCAGTTCTATAAAAGAGGTAACTTTGCATAGCTCACATGCTTTTAAGCACGAATGCGAATTTTGTACGGTGATTCCCCAGTCCGACAAGTATTACATTAGAAATAGTTTAACCTGGAGACACTATTCTATGTGAAGTTAAGAGGAATTTCCTCTTATATATAAATTAAAGCATTTTTGAGAATGTTGGTTGCCTTGTTGAGTGCTTTAATTCAGTGATTTCTCAAAATCCCCTATAATTCTTCAGTCATACCTTAGAGGAAGGGTGGAAATACTGAGTCTATTCATGACTGATCATATACATCTATGAAGAACGCAGTGCAATTTGTTTGCGCTCACTACTTAAACATCTGATAACTTGTGCAGGCTGTGTTCTTTGAAAGAGCGGCCTCCACAAGGTCACCCACTGTTACTTTTCCACCTCAATGGGATTTTACAAATATATTTCCTGTATAAGGAAACCAAAAATTATGTGTTAAAATCAAATTTCGATTTAGCGTCTAACAGATGTCTCCATTCTTCTTCACCACTTCACTCAAACTCAGGCTTGGGGTGAACTAGTTTTGAACAAATAAATGCGAAATATTTTCTTGCTTCACTTATCACTTATATTTCCTTTCATTTACGGTTTTTCTTTGGGATAAGGAAACTTCTCTGTTCCTGTTGTTATTGGTGTTTCTGTCACTTAGTATATCCAGCTGGTGAGTCCTAAAGACAGTGGAGACAAATCCAGGATCCTACTGTTAGTAACCACCAAAAAAGTTGTAACATAATTAATCTTCAGGCGATATCGAAGCATCTGCACTGGAGAGCATATGCCAATATAGATAGATCATTCCAACTCGGATAATACAGGGGAAGTCAAAAGTATCAATAAATAGTTCACAAGTCGTTCAGCATAAGGAGTTTGAAATTTTTTATGTCTCATACGAGTACAACCTGAGCACTACAGTAGGATGCTATTCCGTTATAGTTGATTTATTAGATGTATCAGACAGTGAAACAGTATTATTTACTACACCTATAGGATTTGGGGATTGCAGTCGAATGTAGTTTCACTGTATATTAAGGTTTGGTTAGTGGGTGAGTCCTGTAGCCCAGTTGGTTTGACATCGAGTCGGTTATCCCGAGGCCATTGGTTCCAGTCCTGCTGTGATCCAGATTTTCATTTCACCTTCAATCATCATTGATAAAAGATACTTTTATGTTAACTGGGTTACAAATTCGATCAAAGGGTAAAAACAGTAGAACTTTAAAACTAGACCAGAAAGTTGTGTGATTACCATAACGTGATAATGAGTAATAAATCCTGCTCGAAACTTCATCCAGTAGTGAGTATCACTGCGTAATGCAAACACTAATTTTAAATGGAGTGCAATTCACCGTTCATAACAATAATTTTTTCTGTAAGTTACGAACTACTATAAAGTAGACAAATCATTTTAACTAAATAAACGTATTTTACAAACTTCAGGGTCAAACGACCTGGAATGAGTTGAACATTAGGTAAATGGATTATCAATAAAATACGTTTTTAAAATCCCAGTGAGTTAAAAAAATAAATTCCTGATACATCTCAACTCGGCGGAAATCGCTTCTTCGGACAGTAAAACCTGTACAAGTTATCGAATGTTTTACGATTCAAACATATGATACCCTGTACAGGTTTTATTGTCTTAAGAAGCGATTCCCACGAAGTCACGAAACATCAGAAATTTATACTTTTACATCACTGAAATGTCAAAAAGATACCTCGTTTATAAGTCAACGTAGTTCAGAAAGTAACCAGTTGTCCTACTAAAAATTATCTACAAGAATACTACGCATAAAGAATAAGATGATAACTAAATCATTAGAAAATAGTATTTCACAAAAATTATACTAAGGGTGAATTTTGTGAGAAAAATATGCATTCTAAAATGGGTCAGCACAAAATGGCAAAGAAACGCTGACTGGATAAATCCAGCTCTCAACAGGATTTTAACCTGATTTCACCGAAAACTAGTGAAATATGTTATCGTTTTTAAAAAGGGATGGTTAGATGAACTTAATCTTTTCATTCAACTGACTAGATGACTGATATTAACAATGAAGAACCATTCTTTTGACTTCTACACTGTAGTCGTAAATATAAAAGTTCAGATAAACCAGCTTAATACTTCTAACAAAGCGGATCTGGTCAGCTGGATAGTGAGTGCAGCATCATAAATTTATGAAATAACTGAGAAATAATATGAAACCATGCTCCACTATATTCTCCAAGTTGTTTTTCTATATCACATTTACAAGATGTTCGTGAATTTCACAATCCGGGTGAAAATCTCCCTTAATTGAGTGGTGCTTTCATCAACAACCTTCAATAACAGTGTTTTTTTTCTCAGGATCATTTTGTGAATCGAACAAAATTTGTTTCTTATAATCAAGGCTTCACAAGTCAGTAAAATGCGCTTATAAATGATATGCATGTTAAGACACAAACGAAATTAGTTCGTCGTGCATGGATGATCAGCTGTTACTTACCACTGTTTTCAAAACACGTGAAAAACAGACAGATCTCGTCTAGGTCATAGAGTTAATGACCATGCGTTCATGCTAACTCAGATCTTCAAACACCATTATGCGTATTCCAGGTCAACTGCTGTTCCGATTCTTGATAATAGAGCTACCTGAGATTTGGTTAACATGACCAGGATCGATAGATCTACTTGAGAGGCGTGTCCATGAGATGTTGATCAATACATTCATATCTTTACACAAAAACACTGTAGGTGGAGTGAGGCCATACAATCACCTCCCTCCGTTATTCAAAATCAAGAGTGAGGTTAGGAACAAACTTTCGATTTCGCTTCTCCTCTTTACCTTCACCACGATGACATTTTAATGTCTTCTCTGAAGGAGTTGTATGGTAGTGGTTTAAAACTGTTACTAGATGAAAGACTTCTCAACCTAGATTATATAGATGATATTGCTTTACTCTACGACAACATACAAGTTACTCAGATCGCCCATGATCAGTTGGTAATCAGTGTCCAAAAGGATATTATTTGCTTTACACCGACAAAGTCAAGGTACTTTCACAAGATTTACTGCAACCTGCATCTGGACTTACCCTTTGAGATGAATCATAGGTAGATTAAAACTTCATAAAACTGGGTAGTTGTGTGAATGTTGACAGAGTTGTAAAACTTATAATGATACACAGAAACCAGGATAGGCATATGTTGATGTACACCATTTATGATTTCTTTGTAATCTAGTGTATCTGTAAAAGGTTTGGGGTTAAATGGGTTATTGTGAACACTTCTGCACCCCGCCTATGAAACCTGCCCTTTGCGAACTGAAAGTGTCCGATGACCCTATGTTCAATTACCGTTGTTTACACAGGATTGCTCGAATCCGGTGGAAACAATTTATAGGTAATTATGAGATGGGCCTGTTTGCATTCAGGTACGATGAAAACCATGACTCATTGGTTGGTTTCATCTTGAAATGTCAGTGCCAGGAACTTGTTGTTATGTTATGAATATTGTCCCAGAGGCTCTCATATCACTCACTGTTCTCTAGCCCTGGAACTGGTTGGAAGGACCGGAGAGATGGTCACTGTATGGCTTGGCACCGCAAAGAGTATCTCCTGGCGTCTATGTTGCACCAGGTTTGTTTACTAATTAAATCAGGTTCAGACAAACTGACTGTGTCAAGTTACGTACACTATGCTTACGAAGGCTAAATTGTCTAAATGTTGGGATGAAAAATTCAATAAAATATTCATCTCAGAACATATTTAGACAAAACATTGGAAAAGCACATACTCAATCCTATTTGCATCGTAAAACACCCTTTGGGTTATGGGTATGATTCCCTACTACTTGAAACCCAACTATTTGTCAGTTGGCAGAATATAAACTAGCTGACTGAAAGTATATGATTTGTATCCTGCTAGCGCCAAAGATTCATCGTGTATTTGTTCAGCTGTTTATCTAAGGACAAGTTAAAATTGACTTGAATTAGTATACTAGTCAAACAAAATTGATGACTCTTTCATTCTTAAAGGTGTTGTTTTTGGTGCATATAAAAAGACGTATAATACAGTTTGGAGGTTTGTGGGGATTTATTTATTGATTTCAGGTTAGGATTCATTATGAACTGACTTCAGTTGGAGAAGCCTTGGAAACCTGGGAGCACTGGACAGCTGTTTCGCTCTAGTGTGAGATTTATACTAGGAAGTCCCAAACTAGGTCGATACAGCTGTTTTGGGCTCTCAGGTTCCCAAGGTTTCTCCAACTGATGTCATTCCATAATGAATACAAACCTGAGATATACAATAATTATACACTAGAAAACGTTTCTAATCATACCTGGAAACATAATCTTCACCACACTTCGTCATACACATGCATACATTTAAGCAAATATGAGGCAGAAAAACAGAAAAATTCTACGAGTGAAAACAAGGGAATCAACTGAGAAAATAGGGGTAGAAAAATAAAAATTTCATTCATCTTTATATGTTCTCTATCTACCTTACAATTCAAATTCTAAGAAGATTAGTTAAATAGGAAAAACCTAAATAAGCTACTAGTCGATAAATGTGACGAGTACAAGGCAGAATAAAGAGAATTCAGACAGTGGGTATTAAAGAAGCTAAAATATATTGATCAATGATTCATATGTAGGTGGGACCTTTCAGTGTGGTGAAACATTTTTATGTACCTCAGTAGCTTAGGTTAACATACAGCAGAGAATAAACAGAATTTCAATCTAGCCTCTCTTTAGCGGCACACTACACAAAATATATACATGGCTGGCAGAATAAAGATTCTTAGTGTGACCTGTCATCTCAGCATGGTGATATATCGGTACAAATTGACATTAGATCATGCGAGTGGCAATAGTAATTGCCGTACTAGTTATGATTTGACTTCGAAGAAGTTTTAGGCGAACACCTTTCACAAGGTTCGCACAGTTCCTATGAATGACACTAAAGTCTTTTTCTGCATTTACCAGGTGGTCAGAGTTGCTCAAATGCTTTAAGATAGAGCTGTGAGGTACTCTTCTTTCTCCTTTGTGGTACCAGATTGTTACGTTTGGAAAGCCAACATACTATGGCCAAAATACCTGATTCCACAGGAGTAAGTAAATTGATAAACAGACCTACAGATGTCCAAAGCCGTTCACTAATCCTTCATGTTTAATCCAAGCCCTGGATGAGTAGAGGAAGCTCATTCCAGCTTGTTAGCATTGAACATCATTCTAAGTGAGCACGCCAGACGATTTCTTAGCGTTTAGGCTGATACGTCCCCATTGAATTGTAAATTCATAGAGCATCTTTTCATATATCTCAATCTCCCACCTGACATTTCAATATTGATGTTTTTTTCTCAGTACTATTTTAGACATCATGTAATTATTTTTTCAATCTTCTGATCTATTTTCGAAATGACTTTTCGTAAAAATATTTAATGAAATATTCCTTTTCTTTTTTCAAGTGAATTTAATATTTATATTCGATTGCAAAGCTTCAGAATTAGGTTGTTGAAAAGAATGACTTTTGTTGGACGTCTACTGTTTCATGACAACAGGGATTTCTTGAGTTACTTACATAAACGAATCAAGGAAACCAACCCAAATAACATATTTTATTGCCTTCCACCTAATTTAATAAGATCAGCAATGAATAGTAGAGAAAACTCCTCACTTTCACTAACAAAGTGTACTGATTCCCCTAGGGATGAATGTATAGGCTGAAGAAATGAATTTTTCTAAAATCAGTTTCCAACCAACAGCTCCAGATGAATTTAAGCTTATATGTCTTCTTCTAATTTTGACAATGGGAATTTGTAAAATCCTAATTTAATAATATATGTACAGTTGTTTTAAACAATGCAACATAGTATATCAATCTGTTAGTTACAAATTATTGAACAGGGGTGATAATTAGCCAAGGAATTTATGATTGCCAATAAAGAATAGAGAAATTATCACTATTCGATGGGTATATTATTTTGCATTGTTTTTAAAACGCCTATACATTGGCATACAGGTATTGATGAGGAGCTTATTATAAAACAATATTTCTTTTTCGTGAGAATATATATTGCAGATGGTCATGGTTTGGTGGACCGGTGCATATGTAGCAGGGTGATAAATGAAGGTGGAACAAAACCTGGACGACGCAGAAACTGAAGTAGCACGTTTCCTGCTTTATGCTCCACCAACTGAGTTATGAGATTTAGCTGTTGGATAGGTTTTAATTTTACTTCAGTAACCGAGAGTTCTAGCCGACTAGATACCAGCTGGCTCCCGTAGCTCATTTGGTTGGGCTACAGGCTTGTGACTCAGGAGCTACTGGCACAAATTCTCTTCCGGTCTGAGTTTTTGTTTCACCCCAGTATATAAATATTTTTCACTCAGTTTGTTGACTTCTAACTGAGAATTAAAGCCTTACAAATGAAATAACCCAAATGTTTGGCATCAGTAAGTTATGTATTGAAATGTTCTCATTTCGAAGAAGAACAGATAAATTGTACCATGTGTTCACTACTAAGTAATCAATGAATCTGTCCAGTCCTTAGTTCCCAGAACTGACGGGAGATGACCAACCACTTTTGCAGTGATACTGTGGCGCATTGTGGACTGATACCAAAGGTGAGCTGTCAGTTGTCAGGAAACCCTACTTAACCTAGGTTTTCTGCTTGTTCTTACTCACCAGTTAGTCATGTCTGCAGCCACCAGGATACTTATGTTCCTTCGCTGATTCAAACTAACCTTGCTGTAAATTACTTATTAGCATAATATCTGGGTCAAACAGGGCTTTGTGATGCTTTGCTTTTTATATCTAATAACTGATAAATTGCTAAACAAAATTTGATTATGCCTGTGCAATGAGGCTGTAAATCTTGTATGCCGTGTATACCCCTCTGCGATTAGAACCCTCATAGTCCAGAGCCGAAGTTAGAGACGTCAACACGGAAATATTTTGGTCTTAGTCGAGCTCCAGTAGGACTAGGTTAGATACACTGATTAGTCACAGGCAAGCGACCGATTTTATGTTTTCCAGTCTTGTGTGCAGATTGAATTGTCAATTATTTTGGAATTTGGCCACCTAGCTAGGAAGTTCACAATCGTTGTGCATTGTGATGGATGTTAGTTGATTGGAGGCAATCGGTAGGGAGTTATGGACCTAGGCTATGTGACTTTTATCCTCCTGGCTTGTTGGCCACATTCCAACTCGATTTACGGGATTTGGTCAGCATTCAGGACTAAACAACATGAAATTGGTTGCCCGCCTGTGAGCAATCAGTGTATCCAATCCAATCCCAAAGGAGCTCAGTCACAGCTTGAATAGCTAAGTGGTAACATTGCTAACTGCAAAGCTAGGTGATGCGGGTTCGGATCTCAGAGGGGACATCAGTTCCTTTCAGGTTGCAGGTGCACCTTACTGACAAGTACCAACAATAGCGAAACCCAGGTCTAAAAGTTCTTCCTGATTGCCTCAGATCAACTAACTTCCGGCTAGTTTTTTGAAAGAGGTTTGAATAATGACGATTTGGTTTGGAGTTGATCACTATCACTGACTGACTGGCTGACTGACTGACTGACTGACTGACTGACTGACTGACTGACTGACTGACTGACTGACTGACTGACTGACTGACTGACTGACTGACTGACTGACTGACTGACTGACTGACTGACTGACTGACTGACTGACTGACTGACTGACCAGATAGACACAAGAAGGAAACTGGATTAGCTTTGTATAACCTCAGGTCAACTCTTCAAAGAGTGATACAATGAAGGAAAGTTTGGAACTATTTAAAAAGTCATGAAGAAGAATGAGAATTAATGTAACATCAAGTGCATAATGAAGCTTAAATAGTAAGGTTATTAGTGTTTATAGTAAGACAACTAAGGAATGGATTTGCACTATAGACATGAATATTTAGCTATCCTGACTACATATTGCAACCTGTAGTTCCTGACGTCTCAAAGATCCCAATGGGAAGCGTCATATTTCTGAAGAGAAAGAACTGTGAGCAGCAGTGAGTCCCTTTATAGACAAGTAACATATAGTAATCTAGGCATGGCGAAGTTTCTTATTAAGACAGGAATTTCTTCTAGATCACCTTGCATATCAAGTTGATTGGTGTCTGATCATGCACAACCTATGTTTCACCAATTACAGTCTGTACAGACTAACAACCGCATCAAACAACTAGTCCCTCTTTGTTAAAATTCTACTCCTGGGTTCAGGATCGTTTGCACTACGGTTTCACCACATACTATAGAGCGACTGTGAACGAATTCCTACGATCTTCATCTGTTGCTCATCTCTAGAAGTTTCATACCATAGATATACATATATTCCAACTGGGCATGAAACTGAAACCTATCAAGAGTTTCTTATCAACCTATTAATTCTAAAGATGCAGCCTGTGCTACTGATATGGAATGAAGAAGCAGTTACAACGATTTAAGCAGAATGGTGAATCACTATTTCTATTAAAAGTATACGGCATGGATGCGGCTGTCGGACAAATGTTTAAGGACTAGAGCTGTTTTCCACCAGGATTCAGTGCGTTAACCAACCAAGTCTATCTGAGACAATGTAATCACTAGTTCGTCAGTCACTCGGTCATTTTAATTTACTTCCTTTTTACAGGCGGCAGAATACTCGACTAGGAATTTAATGCAATATTAAATATACAACCGCTGATCCCACATTCGCACAAAAGCCGGACAAGGCTGTCTTAAACTGAAAGGAAATCAAGATCTAACTAAAAGCGGGAACCCGTTAATAAGTTACTAAAGAAGTGAACTGATCTCCCAGGGGGCTACTGGTTTCATTTCAGCTCCTAATTTTGCCTGTTAAAATATGCAAAACAATGGTGTTTCTTAAATGTGTCATTATATTAAAACCAAGAAAAGTGAAACCAACTATCCCAATAAACGCTGACTTTTGTTATGTGACCAGTTGACAGTTCGTTACATTCAATATATCTTTTCTTCTAATATCAGCAGGTTCAAGCACTGTATGAAATATTTCCTGATGAAGTTTTGGGTTCTGGACAGTTTGGTATTGTCTATGGAGGTGAGTCTGACAAAAAAATATGTGTTGATTTTCATTTCTTCCTCGTTAATGATATCCTTTGGCTGGTACATACACACATACACACACACAGAACGTAAATAAACGGCCACTTGAAAAGGTGAAACATTTTAAGTTTCTATACTTAGAAAAACAGAAAAGTTCCCTCAATTAATTAGGTTGGCATGGTAGGAGAAAGAACATAAGATGCCTAGAATTTGACGATGATAAAGAGTGCGCCTCCGTGGTTGATTTAGGGTTACAGCATGAAGGATTTACAGTCATCTATCTTAACCTCTATCAATACATTGATATGATTATGAGCAATAATTTATGCTCGAAACGTCGTTAACTAAATAATACTATATCACTGTGTGTTATAAATCAAATGAACAAATCTAATTTGGAATTAGACGACTCCATTGAGCCAATCCTTTGACTGGTGCTAAGTGATTGGAAGTAGATGGTAGGAGGTTGCAGATACACCTTGCTGATGAGTATCAAAAATTATGACACCCAGGTTTATGACCGCCTGTCGATTACCCCTAGTCAATTAAAATCACTACTAGCAGAGAACATAGACGGCAAGTATATTAGCAACCGTCAAAAAATACCTTCCTCCTATTTTTTTGGACATCTAGTCAACTCGAGTTGTTTAGGGCGTAACTCTAAACCCTTCAGAATAATCTATTACAATTCGAAAAATCTTATAAACAAGATTTTGGCTTGAAATCAGGTGTCTTCAGACTACACAGTTGGTAGTCAGAAATCTCATCCTGATCTGTAGAAACCAAAATATTCATATCACATAATGTGTTCTCCTCAACTCCATAGATAGTGTTAAAACTGGGAATATGAAAGCTGTATGAAATATGTTACTAACTGATATGATTAGTCAGTAGTGCTTGAAAGTCAGAAAAAAGTGGCCTAAACACCGTACGGCCGTTTAACTCATTTGAAGACTAATTCAGTCCCAGTACACTGGTGACGATTTCAACGCCAAATTACCCCAACGGTCATCCAATGCTTAAATTTACTTGATCTAGCTAGGGAGCACTCTTGATCGGTGAGAGTAGGCTAAAACTAGTGTTGTCAATCTGTACTATATTTTGTAGATAACCAGTTCAGAATGTATGATCATATACAAATAATTAAAAAAGTACTCCAAAGTGATTATAACAAATATACTGTTACACTAGAAGCTAACTAACTAACCAATGAATGATACATTACAATTTCAATAGAAGGTGAAAGTGTTATTATTCCGAAATTTGAACTTATCCTAATCATAGCCGGTTAACTTGACAATGAACATTTATTCATTACTGCAGAATAATCAATATAATGTGATCTAGTAGTCCTAAAAACTGTTGATCAAGTTTGCAAAGTGGTCACCAAACTAGGTGACTTACCATCCCAGTGCATCCTGATTAATGCTAGGTAGTTGAAAGCAACTGCAGAAAGCCTTGACGAACTAGAGTTTCATGTTTGTTGCCACTTGTCACCAAAGTGTATATGTAATCTCGACGAATCTGGCGTGGTTTGCATAGCTTACTTAGAAGTACAAGACAGCAGTGTTCCATTGCTCATTTCCTGCCTTTCCGGTGACCTACTCAGCTAATAACAAACTAGTTAACCAACAGTCTATTAGATTATTGTTGTTATTGTGTAGTCTTTAGACAGCTTCTGGTTTGAAGATTTTTCAGTCATATATTCCAAGTATATATAAATAATAAACAGTAAGTGAGGTCGCGATTGAAACTACCTTTTGTTTATCTAATCAGTCAGAATAATTAAATATTTTCATTTCTTTTGTATCACAACACCAGCATTTTCAAAATTATTGATTTATGGTAAACATAAGTGACCAAACTCCTGACCTTTTTGATCACTTCATTTAATTTTAGTGTACAGTTGTCAAGCAGGGCTCCAACTAATTTATATGACTAGAACATGCTAAGACACAGTGGTTCATTGGTTAACATCCGTATATAAAAAAATGTCTTAGATAAGAGGACGTTACCTGTGGCCTGTGCAATCAAATTCACTTGAGCAAAAAAACTGTTTATAGAGGTGATGAACAGGTCACCGGATGAAAACCGATGTATGTGTCACTACATTGCTTGTGAGTAGAAACAAGCGAGCAGCTTAGGTGGGAGAATCTAAAACACACAAAATCTTTACATATAAAACCAAAATGCACTGCACTATAGTGTAATGTGGTTTGCTTAGTGACCATATGTCAACACCTGCCGATACGCTGCGATGTGCACTATTTATTCTTATTATAATTATTTGTCCTTTGGGTTCCTAGTGGAACATAGGGCTTCAACAGCACATCTCCATTTCACTCTGTTCTCTGCATGCCTTCTTAACACGGCTCAACCACTCCCACAAGCTTTCATTTCTTCCTCACACGATCTCCTGCATGTCACCCTCACCTCGGACACCCAACTCGTCGTTCCCCATGCCGGTTCCACTCAACACACTGGCCTGATGCGTGACCTCCCCAAATATCTCCTCAGTGTATGCTCAATCCAATCCATCTCCATTTTATTCTGCATATTTCTTGGGTGATGGGTTCTTGCTTCGTTGGTTTGTTGACAGCCAGCCAGCCAGCCAGCCAGCCAGCCAGTCAGCGTTCCTTGTTGCTTATCCATATTATTCTGGCCATCTGATCTTCACTGTCAGTATCGAGTGAGCGTAGGTGTCAGCTGTTGATGATTTATGTGTGTAGTTTGTTGGAAGTGGTTTTGGTGACGCGCCAAGTTTGTGAACCATCACATAACAGCACTGAATTCACGTTGATGTTGAAAATTAGGATCTTGTTCACGCTTTATGCTGAGTGTAGTAGATCTCCACACTGATTGGTTTCAGGTTAGTGAAGACGTGTCCTGCTGTCATTCCGATCCTGGCTTCGACTTGCTCATGTGTGTCTCCACCTATAGTCGAAACAACGCTGCCCTGTCAAGGTAGGTGGAAGAGACTACTTCCTTCAGGTTTCTCCCATTCATGGTGGTTGGTGCCTCTTGTCGTTGCTGTTATTGTTGTTGTTGATGATGCTGTTGTTGGTTGGGTATCTTCATCACCTCCGTCTTCTCTACATTCACATGAAGAAAGTCCCATCTTCCCTGCCATGCCTCTTCTGTCAACTTGTCGCTTTCGCCTGTAGATCTTCGAGTTTGTGCGACAAGACATTAAACACAAATCATCATCATTGGCGGTGGTGAAATCCCAATCTTCTTCTGGGGTCTTTTCATCGGTCCAACCAGCATATACCCATCTTCTCGCTCGTCACAGTCTGCTGGATGATCCAGTCGACCACAATCAGGAAGATCATCGGTGATAGTAGGCGGTAGTCTTGTCTTACTCCTGTCTTCACTTCACTTCAAAGGTGTCAATGAGTTTTCCATTGTCAATCACTCGGCATGTAGCATTATATAGGATATAGCTGTTGAATGAAGTTGATAAGGGTTTGTGGCACTAAAACCGTAGTGTTGAAACAGCTGTCTGCCAAATAAATTTTCATTCGACGTTGTCGAAGGCCATTTCAAAGTCGATGAAGTTGAGGTTGAGGTTGAGTTGAGTTGACTGGCATTCTATTCTCTGTTGAATGATGATGCGTAGCGTAGCGTTGCAATTCGATGTGCATATGATTTGTTCTTCCTGAAGCCAACCAGCCAGTCAGTCTGTTCTGGTCGTAATTCTGAATGCAGAGGATTCTTCAGTCTCTCCAGAATGATGCGGCCTAATTTTTAGCTTGAATGGGTGTGGATATTATTCCTCATCAGTTCTTGCAAAGGCTTACGTCCACCTTCTTTGGGAGTCGTTGTTTTTATTGTTAGTAAAATTTCCCATATCTCTGACATAGTTGTTGTGTCATTTCTGTTACATGTGTTGCATGTTGACTCGATGAATAAAGATTCAGCAATTAGTCTCTCTCTCCATTTAATTATATTGGACTTAAGTACAGTGGCTTTATCCCACCCTATTGTGTGGTTGTATGTTAATGTAAACTTATGAAGATAGTAAACACCAGGACTATGAATTTCTTATACAAACACAGACAAAGCAAGACCAGCTGCTTTGAAGAAATCCAGAAACAATCAAATCAAAAAGTTCAACAATTAACACAAGAGAATATCCGTCAGAAGATAATCAAATTACAAATGAAATGTCATCAAACATCGATAGAACAAAGTGGGTAGTAAATCTCTCCTCAAGAACCTCAAGCCCAACTGAGACGAAAGTACTCGAAAAAGGGCTAAACTTCAACGTGACAAGAGGTCATCTAAAACCAGAAGATGTCATACCTAACATAGAAGTAGCGTTAAGCTCAGTGAATGGAGAAACTGCTGAACATGTTAGAGTACAGTGTGCGTTAACAATTAAAAGACAAAAGACGACAGCAAAAATTAACAAAACTTGAAAATCCAACTCTGAATAATCTACCGAATGACAAGAATATAGTAATGGTTAGGTCGGATAAAGGCAAGTCAACAATAGTTGTGGACAAATTAGATTACTTCAAAAAAATTCATCAACGTATCCAAAAAGGAACATATGAAGAAATCAAGAAGCCTTTAGATGCGGTCATGAATAAAACTAAGAAATCAACAGCCGATTTGATACGCGGATTAAAACCATCTCTAGATGAGTCTAAATGGCTTAATTTAATGTCTAGAACTAATAATCCTAGCAGAATTCATGACACTATTAAGGTTCATAAACCAGGTTATCGAATCTGACCCATATTTGACTTCAGAAATACCCCAACATATGAACTATCAAAGTACTTAGCATCCATATTACGTTCCACTAGGGACCGTTCAAATTCCAGACTAGCGAAATCTTACGAGTTATAACTTAGGCTTATTGACCTGCACATTATTTTATTTATTATTATTATTCCCTTGGGTTCGTAGTAGAACATACGGCTTCAGCAGCACGCCTCCATTGTACTCTGCTCTCTGGAGAAATTTGAATCTCTCTCCAAGACTGTC